GGGGGGGGGGGGGGGGAGGGAGAGAGAGAGCAGTCTGCATCCAGTAGGGAAGACGTGGACTAGAGGAAGACCCGCCGCCACCGGCGAGGAAGACGTTTGGGGTGTCTAACTGCTGTGGACGCCAGGCCAATTCGGCGTATATGGCTGCCCAGAGGCATTCTTACATTCAATCCATAACATGAAACAAAGCGTTCAGGTTTGGAGCGCGCTCACGCTCACGTAGTCGTCGTGCCTCATGTAACCCTTGCAAGGAAACCGATACCTCCCCGTGCCCTTAATAGGTAAAGGAGGGATTGATTTCGCTTCCTGATCAATGGGGTGATTATTCTTCCACCTGCTTCCAGCCACCCGTTGCCTGGACTATCTCCCTGTAGGAAATACTGCGCTGTTGTATTGAAGCTAATTTGTTTGGGTGTCTCGTGCAAACAGCAGTAGACACTTTCTTGGCGCTGGAGTGGGGGGGCTGGGACTCCCGTAGTTTTCATGAGCCTAGGTTCATCATCCAGACCTAAAGAGTCACTAACAGACCGTAAAATAGGCCTCCAGAACAGCCACGAATCATAGCCGTTTCGATGCGCGTCGGGCCGGAAATGCTTGATACCATTTTGCCTTCGAAGCTGATACAGCCACAATGCTCTGGGGCTGCTCTCTGTTCCCTCACAGCAGCAGCAGCAGCAGCCGGAGGAGAGGATGTGGACCAACGCTGGCGCCGCCGCCGCCGCCGCCGTCCGCGCCGATACGCGGCAACAGCAGAGCCGCCACCGCCGGACCCATTGCGAAGGAGGCGGCGGAGGTGGCTCCGTTCCTATCCGTCCGCACGGCGTTTGATCTGTACCTGAAGGCTCTCGACCTCCCCCGAGGCAGCCTTGTGGTCTGCTCCGCCCTGACTATCCCCGACATGGTGACCATTTTCGAGGAGCACGGGCTGGTCCCCGTACCCGTCGACCTTGACCCGGAGACCTTAGCACCTGAGCCCGGGGCGTTAGAGGCCGAGGTCGCGATGTGTGGAGGCGGCGGCGGCGCGGAAAGCGGCGGCGAGCAGCAGCAGAAGCAGCGTGTGAGGGCGATATATGTTGCTCACGTGTTCGGGGCCCAGGTGGGTGGCGTGCATGTGGCTTGATCGGACGCGGGTGTGATGGCTGCTTTGGTTGATGCGGCAATTTCTTTGTCACGGAGTACTTGGAACCAGCTGTGGGTAGAGGGGTGCGCTGCCTTGGTCGATACGGAAATTGACAGAAGGCAGCTGCGACCGAGCATGCCAATGGTCACCCCGTATTTTTAATCGGCTCTCCCGTCGCTCGTCACGTTACCGGCCCCGCCGTGTTTTCCGCGCACACACCAACTTCTAAGGCTTTTGAATGCCCCTCCCCCAAATCTCGCCCGCGCCGGCNCCCCCCCCCCCCCGCACAACGTGCCTCTTCTCCATTCCACGCTGCAACAACGCCCTGTTGTTAACAAACGATACGTATTTCATAGGTGGACATGACGCACATCGTGGAAGCCGCTGCTCGCCACGGCCTCCTCCTGTGGGAGGACTGCGCCCAGATGTTTACCGGCCTCGGGGGCTACCTCGGCCACCCCGACAGCGATGCCGCCTTCTTCAGCTTCGGCGTGATTAAGAGGGCGACTGCTTTCGGCGGCGGCATCGCGCGCATCCGTGATGATCAAGTCCTGTCAGGCGAGAGCTGCCTTCATAGGAAGACTGCCTACGACTGTAGTCGTCGTTGTTTTCATTTGTGATTTGTGTAGGCCAGGACGACGTAGACGAGACGCCACAGCCTCCCGTGTTGTGTCGTTCTCCAACCGACGGCTGCGGTGGTCATAGTCCTGTGCTTGAGGCGAAGAGTGAAAGGACGTATTCAAACAAACCTTCTCTTACCTCTTGTGGCGGCCGAGCTGCCCGTCGGTATCATCTTGGGTTTCATGTTGTCCTCGCTGGCGTTCTCGGCGAGTCTGAGAAAGGAAACCCTTCACAGTTCGTACCTCACCTCTGGTGCCTCTGTTGTTGTTGATGTTGTCTTCACATTAAAAACCGTTCCGATCTCTCTACCCCGTACCTTCATCTGTCCGTACTGATCAAACGCTTGACCGGTCCTGCTTACTTCGATTGTCTGCCTTGTTGAGCTCGATCTCCATCTGGCTTATTTGTAACACCCGAAGCGGACGTGTTGTCGTTTTTTGCAGCCATGCTACGGGAGGAGGCCGAATACCCATCACAGTCCGCTGCGGCCTACCTTCGCCGGGTGCTCAAGTGCTGGCTGATGCTGGCCCTTACGACGCCGCTGCTTTACGGCATCATCCTCCACACCCTGGCGGTCCTAGGCATCGAGCACGACGAGGTGGGGGCAGCACAGACCAATCGGTCAGATTGTCTGCAGCTGGAGAGTATCTCATTTTGGCTTCTCAACATGAACACAGCAAGCAAATCTATGCTCTGGAACCCGTCCTTTCATGTCGGTTTCGGCGAGATGTATAGTTGTCTAGTCCCGGTTTCTGGGAACCAGGTTTCGTTTCCTCCTCGAAACTCTGCGTCGCGCGCGTCTTCCGTCGAACGGCGCCGCCTACCCCCTACAAGCTGGGCCAGCCAAGAAGTCAACGAAATGGTTAGAAGCGATTTCCGAGCCGGTTTTTACGAATTGGAACCTGAAATTGTGATATGTGATTGGAAACAGTCTTATAAACGCCCCCGAGTCAGATGCCGTTTTTTTTGTTTTGTTTTTGGCGAGGTATCCCTATATTCAACCACTGAGAATCCTAGCATAGGGGTTTTTGTGGCTTACAAAAAAAATAAAAAACGGCATCTCACTCGGGGGCATTTGTAAGACCACTCCTAATCACATATCAAAATTTCAGGTTCCAATTCGTAAAAACCGGCTCGGAAATAGCAAATTGCGTCATGACCTGGGTGCAGGGGCGGAAATTGTGTAGGAAAATGAAGGCCTTACAGCCCGAGAAAAGGGGCGCGAAAGCGACCTGATGGCAAGAGGCGCACAGATGCTGACTGTACCCCTTTGGTTGGACAGGTAGGTGTGGGTGCTTATCGATCGTAATGACGTGACACACATACATGCAAGAGGTTGTAATCTGAAGGTAAGCGCTCCAAAAACGCATGACAAATGTTTTGCACAAATCGCACAAAAGTTGACGTTTCTTTGTACATAAAAAAAAACACTTCGTTCGTTGATTGACAGCGGTTAAAAAACACCCACTTATCTAAAAACAACATTCAAACTGACAGACTCATCAACACACACACACAACTTCTCGCACCGGTTAATCTTACAGAAAAAAATGATGCAAACTACAGCTTGAAACCGACTCATTTAACACACACCCCCACCACACCCGTTTATCTCGCAGAAAAAAAATCCAATGTACAAGTACATGCCACCGACTACAATCTACAACGACAACACACAGCTCACACAACACCCGCTTCTCTCACAGCATAAAACAAAACATGCACACACAACTCGAGACCCCCCCCCCTCGCCATCGGCCGGCCGACGTTGTTACTGGTCGCCAAGAAAACTAGTTTCCATGTCCAAAATGTTGCGGTGGGCCTTTTGGATCTTGCGCATCTTCTCGATGAACTCCTTGTTCCTGATGACTACCCCGCGAAGCGCAATCTCGCGGTAAGCCCGGCAGTAGTCTCGTGTTCGCCGGGCAAAGCGCCGCACCCGACCGATTGTCAAGTACTTGTCTATGCACAGCGACTTTTCGATGTTGTCGTGCAAGTGCTTCGGGACCTCATCATTGATCTTCCGCCGAAACTTCTGCTTGGAAAACCCCCACGAGTACTCGATCCCTACCCCCGCTACCTCCGGGTGACACTTCGGAGACGACAAAAGAATGTGTCCCCTACTCTCTACCAGGTGCTGCAGGGCTGTCCTCTCATTCTTAAAGTCAGGCAAGGCTTGCAGAACCTTTTCCACGTGCATATCGTCACTGACTCCCGCCCCTGTTGACATGCCGTCCTTCCACCACCCACGCTCCCACAGGTACTGCCTGACCCCTTTCGCTTTCCCCTCGTACCCTTCCTTGACCTTCCCCTTCGCGTTCTTCTTGTCTTTGCGCGGAGCATCCCATTCGAAAAACGGAGGAGGCGCACCTACCGCGAAAGTGCTAGTCTGAGTCTGGCCCACCGTCAGCTTCTGGTCAACACACACTGCCCCCTCGCTGAACTTCGTGCTCCACCTGCCGTTGGCGAAATACATTTTCGCCTCCTCCGGACCCAAGCACTCCTCCGTCATGACCGAATCCCGCAACACCTTTTGCTTCCCCCCATACTTGACGTTCATGTTCGATACATGCAAACCATCCTCTCGCTGCTTCCCATGGCCCGACGAGTGGTCGACCTCGAACACTATTTGCATGTCGGGATCGATGTGCTCCAAGACGTCCATCACGTCTTCGACCTGTTCTTCGAACTGGTCGTAGCCCCAGTACCCATCCTTGCCTTTTCCGTATTCAAGAAACCGGAGTCCAGGGCTTCGCGTCAGGGTTTTTTTCCCGTTCCCCTCCTCATCGCGTTTGGCGTTCACCGCCGCCAGGTCGGCATCCGAAATAGGTAAGCCGAAACCGTGTCTTTCGTCCTGAAAACCAGACACCATTTCCCCCGGCCCCTCCGTCTTTTTCCGCAGTCCGCGCACCCCTCGAATCACCCACTCTTTGCCCTCGCGTGCATACGCCTTGTAGGCACTCTCGTCCTGCCCGATGTGGTGCACCTTCTTGCCGCATCTGCACTTGTTCGGGGGGTGGAAATGCTTGCACTGGGCAGCAGCGGCCTGATCGAAGCGAACGCTGTAGTCCCCACCCTCTGGACCAAGTGCGGCGCGGAGCTTGTCGAAGTTATCGACGGAGCCGTCGTCGCGCAGGAGATCTACGTGGAATTCGATGCAGTCTTGTCCATCGATCTTGCAGTCGTACGCCTCTGCGTAGAAATCTCCTTCCGGGCCTCGCGACTTAAGGCTGTCGAGTCGGTCCACCTCCTCCTGCTTGAGAGCGGCTCGTTGCACTCGTACCCACAAGGGTTGACGCAGCGCCATCTTGCGTCTCTTCTCTAAGTACTCGCCGCGGTACTCGACTACCTCCTTCTTCTCGTGGGTGTCCGTGTAGAACGACTTGGTGGCCCGCTCGTACCTGCAACCCAACCTTATCATCCACGAGTGCGTCGTGGACATCGAAACCGGAAGGTTCACCTGGTACGCATGGAGCCTGGAAAGATCCTCCTTGTCGTCTTGGAGCAGAGGCCCGTTGATGTACTTGCAGACGTCCTTGATGGTGAGACGCGGTTGTGATATCATCCACGCCAGCAACGCACTCTTCAGATCCTCCTCTGACATGATCCAGTCCGGCTCGTGCGCACCCCGTGCATCCCGCCTGAAACCACCTTCCTTCCGAAAGTCTCTGAGCCACCTCAGGATCGTTGATGGCGCATAAGCCTGCGGACTAGAACCTGCTACCTTTGCCGCCATCCGCAGGAGCGAAGCCTCGTGCCGAACCAACGACGCCTCGTTGAGCAGGTCAAACCGTTCGGCATCGGCTTCCTTCACGGCGGCATCCGTTGCATGCTTGCAGCCGGACAAAACCTCGTTCGCCTTCCGCGTGAGCTCCAGCTGCTTGACGTCGCGCTCCCGCTCCTCTTTCAGCACCTCCAACGATGAGTACGCTTGCTGCCACAACCGGATTATCTGCTTCTCGGCTACTTTTTCCTCCGGCGGTTTTCCCGTGTCCTCGGCCCACGTCCTATCGCCCGCGTTCTCACCGTCCTCCACGGAAGGGAGGGGGAGGGGGAGGAGAAGGCTGGGGAGGTGGCCAGTCCGGAGGGCGTCCTGGAGACGCTTGATGTGTTGCTCGTTGGCTGCAACGTTTGCCGTCAAGTCTTTGATCCGGCCGCCGAGGTAGGCTCCACGTTGATCGAAGGCCTTTCGAAGCTTTCTGTCTCTCCTTCTCCAACCCCGCTCTATCGAGCGTTTTTCGCGGCTGGTGAGCATCTGCTGCATCGAAAATTCCGCGCGGGTCGCGTCGGAGCCAGCCCGCCGCTGTCGCTTGAACTGCCGTTCCTGTGGTCGGCCGATGATCCCGAGGCTGTTGAGCGATTTTCCTGCTTGAGCGGCGGTTGGGAGTTTGAAGCACGAGGCAGTGCGGCACATTGTTATTCGTTGTTTTGCACTACAGCAATACTTGCAGCAAGTATTTCAGAGTTGGAGATCACCCAAGTAGTACGTGATGTGCAGAGGTGCAACAACCGGTCAACCTTTCGCGAAAGTGTGACGACATCGGCGCATTTTCATGCAGAGTTTTACTTTCAGACCGAAGTACGACACATGATAACACACCCCCTGGGTCGATTTCCACAGCTCGATTACTCCACGACGAAGAGGATGCATGAACAACACGATACGTTTCCGGAGAGCTCTCGACAAGACAGCTTCAACACCGCCGTTTTCGGCGCTGCGACTCGTTCTGCTGGTGATGAATCGAGCTTTCAAAATCCGTCCAGGGGGGTGTGTTATCTTACGTCATATACGGCAGCACATCGTTGCAGCAAACACATCGGGGTGTACAGGTACCATATTGTAGCAAAAAATGTTGTGCGTACTGCTGTAGGCGCCTCTAGTACCAGAACAACAGACGAGTAATGAAGGCAACTCATGTGAACGTGGATATCACGTTGGGCGATTACACTTGTGCGTGCGAAGCATGCCGTCGAAAATTCAAAAATCTCGGCTGACGACCACATCTCCCAAAAAATGTGGTCGTGTACAAATCAACATACGCCGCCATCTCTTTTATAAGAGTGCCACCTACTTGACGTCCCTAAAAGAACATACTCGACGTAAGTCCAGCCTGCGGCATGACTGGCCGCGTGCAGTAGGTACAGCAGCAGTCGCTGGCACGGTGTCACGTGTGCTGCCGTTGCTCCGACCCCAGAAAAAACAAAAAAAATCAAAATTGCATGATCATGTCCACATCGTGTTTGTACAAGTGTACAACTGCGCAGTTCACGACTTGCCTGCTGGAAGCGTAGTACCCGCTGCAACAGGTGGGACTAGATTCTCCTTGCTGACCTCGCAGGGCTGACCACGTTGGCTGCCCTCCCAGCTGTACCTGAAGGCAAGGCTGCCACAAAGCGCTTCCTGCTCTGTGTTGCACAAGGGGCCGTACTTCTTCGTTGCCCTGTCTCCTTTCCGGCTTGTGAACATGAGCCGTAGCCGCCACTTCCCCTTAGACCTCTCTGGATAGCATACGGGTTCAGAGGTTCTCTGCCAGCCATTGCGTGTGACTGCTGCTACTAGGCTCTCCATGCTGTGCACTCTTCGGTGCCAGCGGGTGCTGTGTGCATCTGTTGTGCACAATTTAAAAAAAAAATGAAATTCCGCCGCAAAAAAAAGCGTTTCATAATTTTTTTCCCCAGTCTTAAACCCAGATAAAATGCGGAGGGTTATCTTTTTTGGAGAGAATGTGTTCAACACGATTTCGAGAGGCATGGGCAAATCCGCTGTGATTGGCTGATTGAGCAGATGTGCCGAGCTCGTTCCAATTCTGATTCCTTCAAAATTTATGGTTGGAAGACTGAATGTTAGCTTCTTGGCTGGCCCAGCTTGTATAGCTTTCGTGTTTTCAAGGCGGTCGCAACTTGTCTCTAGGATGATTTACAATCGTTGCTGGCGAAAGCAGGTGGTGATGAAGCTCAGCAAGGGCTTCCCAAAGAAAGGGCTAATGAGGGCAATCAGACACCGGGCTTCCATCCCCTTGCTGCAGGTATTTACCAGATGCGGACGTTCTTGCCCGCTACACCAGTATGCAGATAGACCAGCGCGGCACCTCTTTTGTTTTCTTGGAGCGCAGAACAACTATGTTTGGTATTTAGTGTTATTTTTTATGTGTGGGGCGCTGCCATCTTACGGGTCGTTCGGAGAGCAGCTGAGTGGCATGGTCGTGGCAAGGAGTAGCCGCCAGGGCATGGTGTTTCCTCTAGGCTGCTTCAGCTAGGGAGTGGTAGTAGCGAGTCAAGGGTGGTTCAAAGAATCTTGTTCCTACACTGCTGTTGTTGGGAACTCTCGTTTAGGAGCATGTAGATTTGCAGTGATTGGGTCGCTGTGTTCCCTGCCTTCACCGCCATCGCCGCTGAGGACACAACAGATGCTCGCCTGGAGAATATCCCGGTATCCCACCGAAGGCGTCGAGATCCGTCTGCGGCACTGCAACCGTATGCTCAGCGTTCTCGAGGCCGCCTTGTCGCAGCGGCAGCGGCAACCGCAGCCGCCAAGAGCACTGCCGGCTCGGGGAGGAGGGGCGGCTCAAGAAGATCCGTCGGCGCTATCTGTCGGGGAGGGGGGAGAAGGAGGAGGAGGGGTGGGGGTGGGCGACGTTCTGCCGGGCGTCAAGGCTTACCGGCACACGCTCTGGTTGTACCCCGTGATGGTAACGGGGGGTCCCGACAGGGCGAGCTACGTCGTGAGGGATCTCTTGCGGGAGGGGTTCGACGCCACTCGAGCGCCGACCTCGCTAATGCCCATCGAACGGTAAGCATCTTGTCTGGCCTTTTTTCCTTCTTTTGCTGATGATGGGTGTGTGTGTCCGTTTGTGCGTCTAGAACGCGTCGGGTGTTGACCCTCGTGACGTAGACGAAGAGGTGGGCCGCCTTTGTCGTGAACTTGCGCACGCGTAATGTTACAGCGATATGATGGGACGATGGGAGTGGGGCGCTGGTGCGAGATGATGGGTGTCATCATGCGCTTCCCCTGCCCTCTCACACACATTAAATGAGCTTTTGGCCTGTCTGGCGACTGCCTGCCTTGTTCTGTTGTGCTCGTTCCAGGTGCACAACCACCAAATACAAGGGGCCCGCCGACGGCGTGTCGTCGTCGTCGCCGTGTCGCACGCCGAGGTGCTCCGCGATGATGGACTCGTTGGTTTATCTCCCGCTGGCCAACAACATCCCGGACTCGGAGGTGGACAGGTCAGTCAAGTCCATCAGTGGGTCGGGTGTAGAGATCTCGAACTGCATCCTTCCGCAAATACACGCCCGGCAACGTGGGCGTTGTTTACGGTTCCGATCAGGTGCTGCGAAAGAAAGCGAAGTAGGTAGCTCGTCAAACGTTTGCGGTTGCGAAATGCAGCAGGAGTGGGGTGCTCTTGTGTGCCAGCAGGAAGTCATGTCGTCGCTACCTTTCAATACACACATAAACAACCCGTTCGCCTCCTCCGCTCCTTCCTGATTGGCAACATGTTGTGGGGTTCACACTCGTTTCAATCCCTGAAGACCTTGATGATCACTCCTTGTAGATATATTATTTGTTCTATTGATTATCTCTCGACGTGGCAGCACACTTGCTGGCTCGCTCCTTCCTTCGGATAGACTGGAGAAAGGGGGCGCGGACCCCTCCAGGCAGGGAGAGGCCCGCTATGGCAATATCCACTGTTCAACAACGATCCAATGGAGTCGCAGTTCCCGCCAGATCTAACTAGCTCGCCTAGCACTACCGTTCAGATCGTTGTACTCAAAGCCCTTAGCAATGGTATTTATCGACACACTACCTGCCGTTTTTGTCAAAAATCTCACCCCTTACCTAGCGGAATTGAATCTCAGCAGCGCCAGTGTGCTTCAAGCATAGTACGCGGAAATATGAAGTGGCACCCCGCGTACGGCTGTCCCGTCCCGTAACAACGTTATTCGTGTGCCGTCGCCCTGGACCGTTCCCCGCCCAAGACACACATCTTTTTTTCGTCCCTGCCTGCACGCACCCGGTGTTTTGCGTTGGCAGGATGGCTCTAGCGCTGGCGAGGTCGTTGTGGTCGTGCGGTTCTTCGGCGGCGCCGGGGGACGGCAGACTGGACTCATGCGGCAGTCCCGCCAGCGGGCCACGCAAGTCGAGGGGAAACGGTAGCAGGGAGCGCACCGCGTTGGCCAGAAGCCTGGTGGCCTTCGCGTTTCGCTTGGATGTGATAGCCGTGTCGACGTTGTGCTTTATGGTGTTGGCAGTATCCTTCGTGATTCTGACGTGGTTGCGGTGACCCATACCTCCCTTGATTGCTCGATAGCATGCTGCTCCTAAATACAGAGGGGAATGTGGAGTGTTGTAGAGAGACGCGCTCTCCCCCGCCACCCCTTCCTGAGTCACTTTGGTGGACTTCCCCGGATGTTTTGACAAGACCGCTGTGTGTTGGTCAAGGTCGGATTAGTATGTAAGGCTGGGGTGCTAGATGACGATCGACTCCTTTCGAACCCTTTTCAGGAAACATGTTGCGGCTGGTTTCTTGATTTCTCTAGACGCGTCACCTAAATGATTACAAGGAACGGGGCGTTCGGTATTTTCCCCCATATCCTCCTATCCCGGATGTAGCTACCGTTGGAATTGTTGAGGGCGCGTCAGTTCTGTCGATAGATTTAGGGTCATGTGGCTGGAATTCTAGGTGTAGCTGGTTTTGCTGTGTACTTGGCTTCCGACTTGCTGGAGTGGTACTGTAGACGAGTTTGTTGTCACCGAGTTCAAGAAGCATGGGGTTATGGGATTGTTTTAGTGAGGGTGCTACATGTAGGTTTTGGAAGAGCTCGGGTTCGTTGCTCATCATCTTTGCTGACCCCTTTTATTCGTTCATATATGTAGTCCAGGGCTAACTATGTACAGGAGGAACGTGGCTCGCTCGGAATTGTTGTGCACGAGCTGCTCCGATGTGTTCACAGACACGTGACCGTGTCAAGGCGAGCCAAGCTGCTCGACACTGCTGTAGTCTAGACGGGTTTAACGAGTGAAGAAGTGTATGTGATTCTGACAGGTTGGGATTCTTGTAAAATAGTCTGGTACATCAGTATTGTAATGCCGTTTGACCCGTGTGTTATCCGCAAAATGCATCGGTGCCTTGGTCGAATCGGGTGTGATCGAACTCACATACATAATCATCATGTGCATTGTACCTACGCGTCGTGTTGTTGTGTCTCATTCGAGCCCTACGTCTGACGTGTAGAACGTCTGACTCTGCCTTCTGACGCTCGGCTCTTACATCAGTAGCGGCGTACTACAAGTAGCAGTCTCTCTAGTCTAAAGCGCGAACCTTCGAAAAAAACTGCTGTATAATAACTCCGGAAAAAGCTGCTGGCATATCCTTGTGCGTCTGGCCTCGGATACCACACAACGGAATCGCATACATTGCGATACACCACTGCTGTGCTGAGTGGTTGTGCACCCGGGGGCCCCCGAAGTGGCAGGCAGCCCCCCTCGCAAGAACACTCGCTTTACTCGCGGAGTCCCTTAGGCAACAGCAGTGTCTCCTGCATCATCTTCCAGGCAGGTGATACCGACAGCATGAGCCGCTTCATCAAATATGCATCGAATCTACTGGATGGCGTGGACAGCATAGCCAAAGACTCCCTCACGGACCAAGGTGTGCTTGAGCCGACAGAGGTTACAACACACACAGGGGTGGAACAGCCTTCTATGAACAAGAGAGTGGAGTGTTTTAACTACTCCGAGTACACTTACACTTCAATGTCGGAGGCCACAGGCATGCCATGCCCACCCTAGTCTCGACAGGTCGAGAGCACAAACGTAGCCTCACAGGGTGCTGAAAAACTGTATTGACCTAGACTAGCTGATGACTGAGGCGCTTACGGCAGTCAGGTGGTGTCTCTTTGGTAGGTGCGGAATTGCGGCGTAACCTCAACTCCCCCGTTCTCATGTTCTCATTCCGCTGCTGTCTATCTGCTCCTGCATCATGGCCGCGCAACGCGGTCCCTCTACTGCTTTCGTTCGGGGTCACCGCACGTGCTATAGGTGTTCAAGGGGATATTTTCCCTCGTGTTGCGTCTGTCAGCATGTATGGGGGCGGTGGGGGTAATAGTTTCTTGGTGTCAGTTTTGGAGCATTGCTCCGCAGGAAGCCAGGCCGGCTGTGTGCCGGCTTCTACCCTTCGATGCATCACATGTATACCATGCATAGAACATGTGCCGATTAACGCTTCACGTTGCGGTCGTCCACCCCTCGCCCCACCCTCTCCCCCTCCACAAACCAGACATCGCCGCCGCTGCCGCTGCTGAGCGCCGCCGCCGCCGCAAGCAACTCAAAAGAGACCGGTCCAGCCAACAATCCGGCGGCGGCGGTATTGGCATCGCAGCGGAGCCATCGGAAGGCGACCTCTCGGCGGACAGCTCACAGCTCGGCACCCCGGGCGCCCGGGGGCGTGTCGCGCGCGCGCGCACCTCCAGCGGGGTCGGTAGCGCCGGTGCCGGCCCGTACGCTAGCAGCGCCGGCACGCCCCGGCGGTACGGCGGCGGCGGCGGCGGCAGCTTCGACGACGGCGAGAGCACCGCCGATGAGTTGTACCACGGAGGGAGGGGAGAAGAGGCGGGGAACGACCAAGAAACGGGGCGGCAGCAGCAGCAGCAGCAGCTCGGACCACCTTCCCTCACCACGGGCACTGGATTTTCACCCGGGCCCCGATCGAGAACAACAACATGTACACCAGCAGCAGCAACAACAAGCGCAGCGGCGGGAACGACACCGCCGCCGGTAGCAGCCGTCCCAGCCGCAGGAGCAGCGGACCAGGAGGAAGGGCTTTCCGCCGCCGCCGCCGCCGCCGCCACGGGGATGGATGCTTCCGCGGGCGAGGAAGATACGCCTCCAACTGCGGCAGCGGCGGCAGCAGCAACAACAGCAGCGGAGGGAGTCGCCTCGACGCCGCCGCCGCCGCCGCCGCAATCGCAACACTCGGAGCACCACCGCTACCTCCTGGGCGAAGCCACGGGGCTGGCGGCGGGCGGGGGGGCGGCTCCCGGGAAGGAGGACGGCAGCGTCTGGTCCGACAAGGGCACGGTCTCTTCCGCGGCTCCGTCCCCGCTGGGGCGCGGCGGCCACGGAGTCAGCTACGGTGATGAACGCGACAACGACGTCGGCGGCGGCGGTGGCAGCAGCATGACCACCCTGCCGTCACAGCGCCGCCCGCCGCCGCTAGAGGGCGGCCTCGCCGGAGGAGGAGAGACCCCGGGCGTGGTCGTCGCAGACGACGATGACGAGGAAGAAAGGGGGGCGTCCGTCAAGCCGAGCGCCTCGCGCGTTGGCGTGACCCCGTTCCCTGGGACAACCCCCCCGGGGCATCGTCACGAAGAGCAGCAGCAACAGCAACACCCACACCGGCACCAGGAAAGCGGCGATGTTGATGCCGGGTCCGCTCCGAGCCCGCCGGACGCAGGCTATTCTTCTTCGGCGTCGGTGGCGGCAGCGGCCGCCGCAAGTGGTGGTAGGGAGCGGCGAGGGCTCGGCGGGCTGTTGGGGATGGGCCGGGGTAACAAGGGGGCGGCGGGGAGGGGAAGCAGGGACGACGACGAGGAAGCGCTGAGGGCGGAGGCGGAGGACCTTCGGGCAGAGGTGGAGGAGCTCAGCCTAGAGCTGGAGGATGCAGAGGACAGGTACGGTAGGCGTGGATCAAACGCGAACTGGGCACACTCTCGACGTTGCTGCCGCAAGTAGGACCAACTCTTCGCCGAATAATGGACGTTGTTTGACTTAAAAGAGGACTTCAACAACAGGGCGTGGTAGCACACGATTGTGGTTTTGGTTCCCCCCCTTGTTGCCCCCCCCGGTGTTTGCCATCGGGGTTGGGTTTTCGTCGCTTGGCAACGACGTTGTAAAACAAGCCGCCCCCCCCGGTGTTTGCCGTCGGGATTGGGTTTCGTCGCTTGGCAACGACGTTGTAAAACAAGCCAATTCACTTCGTGAACTCGGCAACCAGGTTACCGTTTTTTTTTTT